TTGACTGAATCCCTCATGCAGATTACAAGTTGCAGTTATTAATTCTTGTCAGCAACTATTAGCTACATGGACCTCAAAAAGTGCCTGTAATGACCTCCAAAGGATGTGTTCAAATCAGAGTAAAATATTTGCCACGAACTTGGCTTTTAAATATTAATAAGTAACAAAAAGGATTGAATGCTGTGACTTGATTGCAGGATTCAAGTCATTGATAAACCAAAATCTGACTGGCAGTGTTAAATAGATACTTTTTAATCAATCTGTTGAGAGATGTTACTACACACCTCTGCAAAAGGTGGGATTTGAATCTGGGCCTCCTTGCTTAGAGGTAGGGGCAACACCACTGCACAAGAGCCATTATTACAAGAACTACACAACATGATTGATTTCTCACAATTAATGGATGTTTAAATGTAAACTTCCAGTGTCTGACAAGATGATTCATAAAGTCCTGAATACTTTTTCCAGTTAACTATCTAACCTACCACAAACAATTAAATCAATTTCAATAGCAAATAGGATTGCTCATGACGTTGACAGCACGGTATACTGGGGGACACTTTTGTTTCACTTGAGTTCCAATGGAATAATAAGGTACGACTGAAGGCTTCACTTTAGGATAACCTTTCTCCATGCAGTTAAATTGAGGCTTACAAAATGTCACAAAAATGGTATGGTGCTGATTAAAACAGAGCTCCTTGTGCATATGGAGAACAGCGAGAAAGGCAAAAAATACTTGCACATTTATACTTGGTACTGAAAAAAGTTTTCAACTTCGTTTCTAACAGAATTTACCTGTCAGCTTTTATGAGAATTGATCTACAGCAAAGGACATTCCTTCAGGTCAAAACAGCTGACTTATTTTGAAGAGGAAAAAAAGTTCATCTGGTATTTTTGATGAAAATGTGATAATGGACAATCAGAATCTGAGCTGGCAGCAGTTTCTCTGTGATCAAAATTGTGATGCCTAAATTCATTAATGGTAATGGGAGAAAGAAATGGGCAAAAATATAACAGTGAAAAACATACAAAGGCTGGAAACCTGATAATACTAACAGCGTAACTTCTAAATAAATAACTTAGCATATGATGGAACATACTTTATTAATGTGTTATTTTGGCTTATCTATTCTATTTATAGGGCAAAATAATCTGTCAATCAAAAGGCTTAACCTTCACAGGAATTATGGAAAAAATCAAGAATTTGAAGACGAGAAAATAGCATATTTCACCTTCCTGTTAGGCTAACAGTTGTAATCAATCATTTATTTCTGCGATATTTGTCAAGTTTTACCTACCAGAAAAGGGAATCAAGTTTTTCTGATTTGTTCTTAATTGTTCCACTTTTACACTTAATTGTTGTTGATTTATTAGTCTTAGATCTATTAGCTGTGAAATAATAACATTCATACATGTAATGCTGCATATTTTCTGTCCAAAGAAAAATAATGAACTATAAATTACAGTCTAAAAATGTAAGAAACTAAGGAAAATGTGCTGAACATTTAAAATACAAAGGAAATTAGCCCCCAGGATGTACAGTATGGATGGTTGTAATAAATTATTTAAAACCCAAGAGTATGGGAAATAGAGTTCTATGAGATCATTTGGCTCCTCAAGCTTGCTCTGTCATTCAAGAAGTTCACAGTTAGTCTTATATTTAATTGCATCTTCTTGTACTATCTTCAAATTCCTAATATCCAAAGAAATATCAGCCCCTTTCTTGAATATTCTCAATTGTTGAGCATCCATAGAGCTCTGGGACAGACCTTTCCAAAATTTCATAACTCTTGTAGTGAATAAATTTCTCCTCATTGCAGTCAAAACAGATCTTGGTCATACTCACGACCACCTTTTTCTTGCATCGGTATATTTTCACTGGCTGTCAAAGACCAGGGTGATCCGAAAACTAGAGATTTTTTACATTGGATTATGCATCATTTTGTTTTCTACTTGATTAAAATGAGCCTTTCTGGATAGATCAGCCTTACATGGCATGGTGCCAGACTTGTTAGCTGCCTCATCGCTGGTGTGTCATGCTTCAAGCAACCCTTGACCCCACCCATTCCACATAGGCCTGAACTATGGCCCAAAGCACCCAACTTGAAATCTGTAAAAATCCAAAGTCTGACACAGCCCTGATCATGATGATGTTGAATTTGAAAGACTGTACCTGCATATTTAAAAAAGAAAGGGGAACTGCAGTGACCTTTAGTAATTTTTTTTTTTTTTTTGCTTTTCTGTAAAGTGAATAAATTAATGTCATATTAATGCTTGAACTAAGACATGATCTAAAAATTGTTTATAAGACTTTAAATTATGGAATTTGATAGCACTACAGGAAGTCTCGACCCAGTGCTACCACTTTGAAAAGTCCGTCTATTCTAGCCCCAGATGCATGCTTTACACCATTACACTAAAATAGGCTTCTTCAAGTATTTGTCCATTTGCCTTTTAATTGTTCTTCTAGAATCAGCTCCTACAATCCCTTCAGATATTATGTTCCAGATCATAGCAATCCAATGTGCGATGAAATTTCACCTCACTTCCCCTCGAGTTCTTACGTTAATTATTTTAAATTTATGACCTCTCATTACTGACCCAGTTAGAAGAGGAAACCATTTGTTCTTACTTAATCAATCAAAGCCACACATAATTCTAAATATCTCAATGAAGTTCCTCTTAATCTTTTCTGCTTGAAGGATGACAATCCTGCTGCTCTACCTATTCCATATAACTGAAGTTTCCAACTCTGGTATTATCCTGGTAAATTTCTGCATATCTAAATCCCTCAACTCTTGCAACCCGTCAAAATTTTGATTAAATTTCCTCCCCATGTTGTTACGAAAAAAGTCTGCAGAGGAATGTAAGAAGGTTAAGCAAGTGGGCAAAAATTTGGCAGATAGAATATAATGTGGAGAAATGTCAGGTTATGCACTTTGGCAGGAAGAATATAGGGGCCGAATATTATTTAATAGGAGAAAGACTGCAGGAAGCTGCAGCACGGAGGGATTTGGAAGTTCTTGTCCATGAATCACAAGAAGCTAGCGACCGGATTCATGAAATGTTGGCCTTTATTTCAGAGAATGGAATATAAAAGCAGAGAGATTTCATTGAAACTGTACAAGGTACCAGTCAGTCCACAGATGGAATACTGTAAACAGTTTTGGGCCACTCATGATTTTATAAAACTCCATAAAGTCATCCCTCAGCTTCTGATAGTCGAGGGAAAATAGCCCTAGTCTATTCAGCCTCTCACAACGGCTCAAAGCTTCCAAACCTGGCAACATCATTGTAAATCTTTTCTGAACCCTTTCAAGTTTCACAATATCTTTCCTATAGCAGGGAGACCAGAATTGCACACAGTATTCCAGTAGTGATCTAACCAATGTCTTGTACAGCCGCAACATGACCTCCCAATTCTATACTCAATGCACTGACCAATAAAGACAAGCATACCAAACGTCCTCTTCACTATCCTACCTACCTGTGACTCCACTTTCAAGGAGTGTCGGTGTGCAGCTTTTCTACTGAGGCAACTTATTTGAAATACAAAGTGAACAATATTTGTTAGGCTGGAAATTGGCGATGACAGCCGAACAAATGTTATAATACCAACAAATAATATTAAAGCTCCACTTCAGCAGGGAAAATGAGAAGCAAGGGCTAATAATTGGTGGTGATATATTGCTTCTGTCTCTTCTTTTGGAGGTGCACTGCCTCAAGACTGATTTTTTGATTAGAAATGCAGGAATAGAAAAATGAGAATTCTCCATTATTCCCCGAGTGACATTTGAAGCACATCCCTCTCCAGTACACAATGGTATGAAATGGAAAGATCATGACTGTAGCAGTGCCAGCAAATACACCTCCAGCAAGATGCCACCACCAGACACATATTGCCCCTCCCCTCCCTTGCCCGCCTTCCACAGGGACCGTTCCCTCCGGGACACCCTGGTCCACTTTTCCTTCATCCCCAACACCCACCACAGCCCCACAGCACCTTCTGCAACCAATGAAGGTGTAACACCTGCCCATTTACCTCCTCCCTCCCCGGTATCAAGGACCCGCACATACCTTTCAGGTGAAGCAACACTTCACCTGCACTTCCCAGAATCTAGTCTACTGCATTCGCTGCACACAATGTGGTCTCCTCCATATTGGGGAAACTAAGTGTAGACTGGGTGACCGCTTCGCAGACATCTACGTTCTGCTCGCATAAAAGACCCTGAACTACCTGTTGCCTGCCACTTTAACACACCACCCTGTTCCCTAGCCAACACTTCTTGTCTCTGGCTTGCTGAAGTTTTCCAGTGAAGCTCAGCGCAAGCTGGAAGAACAAAACCTCATTTTCCGCTTGGGGACCCTGCAGCCTTCCGGACTCAATATCGAGTTCAATAATTTTAAACCAAACTCTTCCATGTCTCAGCCCCCTACCCCACACACCAGGCCCTGTTATCACATAGTCTGCCATTACACACTACCTATTGTTAGTCACTAACAGTCCCCATTAACAACTATTCGCCGTCCTAGCCAGATTGTTATCAATTCCTTTGTCTATCCAACTGCTCTTCTCTCTCTTTGGGCTCTATCCTATTGTTTGCTCCCTACCCGATCCCCTTCCCTAATTTCTGCAGATAAGCCAACGTTTTCCCAATTTCCCTCAGTTCTGAGGAAGGGTCACCGAACCCAAAACTTAACTCTGATTTTTTCTCCACAGATGCTACCAGATCCTCTGAGCTTTTCCAGCAAATTCAGTTGTTCCTGATTTACAGCATCTGCAGTTCTTTTGGTTTTTATTTAGTACAATTAATATGCTTTGTAATAAAGAAATAAATATCTTTCAGTCTGTGTATTTCTAAATCAATAAACCCACAGAACAAATTATATTCCATTGAGGTTTAGTGTATGGTCATTTTTTTCAAAGTTTCCCTTTACAGACAATTTGATTTGTGGAGTTGATTCTGTGAATCTGATCAATCAAATGTATTTTTTTTCAGCAATTGCTTGAATCCTCAAACTCATCCCTGATTCTGCCAGCGGTTGATCAGAGAGCCATAAAACATCTGCAGGAAAATCAAAATTGGACCAAAGTTCAAATTGACCAATTTGACGCATCAAAACTGGAAATAAATCCTTCAAAACCAAACTTAATCATCATAAATTTAGCAGCAGTTGACAGGTATATTTTTAAGTACTAACCATTTCCATATGGTGCACTGGCACCTCGTTTTTAAGTTGTAACTAGGCAAAAGACCATCTGAATAGTAAGAACTGTTATAAAGCAATCAAAGCATTCAATAAGTTTTTGCCTTTGATCCTTTTGTTGTCACTGAAAGTACGTCAGAGTGTTAAGTACAAAAGCACATCACTAGATTTTAATGCATCAAGCACAATGATAAACCTGATGATAAAGTTAGTTCATTTGTTATTAGATTCTGAGCTGTTTGTCCATGAATAGATAAATGTGAGCAGACTTTGATCCAAAAAAGAAGGTCAAAGAAACCTATGATGAATCTTACAAGTATAATCTTCTGAAGTTCAATCTTCATGGGGAAGAATAGAGAAAGTATCATTTCTTGATTAAGTCTTTTGATTATGTTATCTGCTGCATGTATATTAATGGCTGAAAAGGAGATTCCGGATGGGCAGAATCTCCTATAAGTGTCACACAGAGGACTTTCCCATTTGCAGAGCTGTAGGATAATCTTTGCAAACATGTTGCTTGTGGGCTGCCATCTGATTTGAAGCTTCTGAAACCACATGTCATTGTACTGGTGAACTCCTGCCCTTAGCTGCACTTGTCATTCGCTTGGAATGCCAGCTTAATCTTCCCACTTGTCAGGATCGATGACGGCAGTTTCAGTTCTCTTTCGACAGCATCCTTGAATTAGAGTTTTGGATAGCCTGCTGGTATTTTGGCAGGGGTTGCCTTCCTGTATAACATGCTCTTGGAGATACAGCCACCTTCTATCCTGTGCATGTGCCCACACCACCGAAGCGTGGCTTATTTAGCTCCTGCCTTCTCTATTGTTTGCACTCTGCAGGGTCAGTTCCCTCCGTAACACCACAGCACATTTCTCCATGATGCCTAACGGGTCCTCACTCCCCCATTGACACCTTTGCTTGCAATCACAGCAGGTGTAACACTTGCTATTTCACTTCCTTATTCCTTGCTGTCCAAGGCTCCAGATACATCTTCTAGGTGAAGCAACATGTTACATGTACTTCTTACAATCTAATCCACCGTATTCACTGTTCACAAGTGGGACCATTTATATTTGGGGACACGAACGCAGACAGCGTGACTGCTTTCGGTAACATCTCCACTTTGTCCATAAAAATGACCCTGACTTCCCACTTGCTTGCCATTTCAATAAACTACCTAGCTCTCATGTTAACGTTGTGTCCTGAGCCTGCTGCAATGGGTCCATTGAAGCAGCTTTAGATGACCATTAACATCCTTGATGAGGTTAAATTAATTAACTGACCAAATGATTCACAGCAGTGAAGCCAGCACCAGTTTTCTACCATTCCTCTTTTCTACCGTGACTCCAAAGGAATGCGTAACCGGCACTGATTTCCTTGAGGTCCCCTCTTCCGGTAGATGAATCTCACTGAGGGCGATTATCTGGATATTTTACTGAGCCCGCTTTCTACAAACAAGAGCAGTTCTTACCTCAAGTCTCTGAAGAAGAATCATAGTGGACTTGAAATATTAACTTCAGTTCTCTTTCCAAACGTGCTGCCAGACCTGATGAGTTTCTGCAGCATTTTCTACTTTCATTTCTTCTCTCAAACCTGTCAGCTTGTGTCAACCATCCATGTACCAATGGTGACCACTGTCACCTTTACTGTCTGTTTGAGACTGATGTAAGGTCACATTAGTGACTTCCATGCCAGTTGCGAACATGTTGGCAAGAATGACTGAAGCAAATCAATGTTTTGGGCACATTTTCCAGCACCTTCCTCATTGGGAAAGGGATTGCACAGTCACACAGTGAGCTGCTGAGTTCCCACTTCTGTTTCCAACAATGAGATATGCCAGTCGGCAGGTTCACAGCTCCAGCTCCCTGAGGCTCCACATTTGCTTCAACACTGCTCACCCATCACCACAGGACTTGTAACATCAAATGATGGAAGACAGATGATAGAAAGATGATGAACATGGCTTCTGTTCCGTATTGGATTATAGTGAGGGTTATTGGATTATTGTGCATTGCCAGTCTCGCTTTCTCAAGCTAATCTGTATTGGTCCAGTTGCAAAAAGATTCTAAATGCCTGGAGGTGGATCTTGGTGCACCAGGTGATCAGGACATCTTCTTTGTCCTGCCATGCTTTCGACATTTCACAACATGGTGGTGAACTGCCTTGAAGACAATTGAATCATGGACTGCTCTCATCTACCCAGTCAGCTAGCATCGGTCCTCTCATACGAGGATAGACAAATCTCTAGGCCACTGATGTTAGAGATTCACGGACCACCCTCAATTGGTTTGCCCTGCCTGTCAAAGTGGTTTATTGGGGTGTGGCAATGTTGCATGTTAACACCTACTTGGAGCTTGAGCTAACAGCTGAATGAAAGTTGAGTATAAACACAGAATGAGTCCTCAGAAGAGTGAAGCAAACCCATCTGTGAGAGGCGCTGTCCCTCACATACACCTGGTTTAGCAGCCATGAATAAATTTTGAAACATAAACCTCCAAGTATTGAATTATGCTGAGCAATTGCATTAATAATTATTATTGTAGCACATTTATATTAACAAGTGTTTCCATCTTAATGAACAGCTCAACTTATTCAAACTTGGCACAGACACTCATGGATAATGGTATGATTGATTCTAATTTTGCTAATTTCTCTTGTCATACGTATGTTAATGACTGAATTTGCATTTGATTATCCACTTAGTGGGTTTTGGTAGATGTGCTTGAACAGCCTACAGCACACAATAGTTACAGAATTAATACTAGAAAGAGTGGGGTTTTGCCTGCAACAGGTAAATGGCCTGGGGTTATAGTGGACATGATGGTAACAGGTAAAAAGAGAGTTTTATGTGAGTATTGGCGGGTAATAATGGTGAAAGATATTAAATCCTTGAGATATAGCTTATTTAGAATAGATTACAAAAGCAGCTCATTTGGAATGTGTTCTTTTATTTCTAGAGGTCATGTGTTCAGATTGCTAAAGAGTCCACACTTGTCATTGTTTATATCCCATTAAAGACGATGACAGCAGTGGCAATGGATATTTATGTAATACCTTTAATGTGATAAAATATCCGAAGCAACTCATAGAAGCATCATAAAACAAAATATGGATTGAGTCACATAGTTATATATTAGGTCAAATGGCCAACACTTTAGTTAAATAGGTTTTGAGGAGTGCCCTAAAGCAGGAAAGGGGAGGCTAAGAGGTGTAGGATGGGTATTCTAGAGCTTACTGCTGAGATAACTGAATGTGCAACCACCAACAGCAGAGGGATCAAAACTGGGGATACACCAGAGGCCAGAATTAGAGGACTCCACTGTCTTGGCAGGTTCTAGGGCTAAGAGGAGATTACAGAGCTGGGAAGGGATTTGAAAACAAAAATGAGAATTTTTCATGTCACTTGACAAAGTAGGTCAACAAGCACGGAGGTGATAGGTAAACCAGGGACAGTAGTATTTTGAATGACCTCAAGTCAATGGAGCATGGAGTGCGGGACACCAGCCAGGAGTAGACTGGGCCATTTCTGAAGAAGGGTCTAGGCCCGAAACATTAGCTTTCCTGCTCCTCTGATGCTGCTTGGCCTGCTGTGTTCATCCAGCTCTACACCTTGTTATCTCAGATTCTCCAGCATCTGCAGTTCCTACTATCTCTAATATTATGTTGCATTTTTGGAAATGTTCCAGGACAGGGTGGGCTGCTCAAAGATGATGTAGACCTGCACCAAGTTCCCCTTTGCACTGTACATACGCATTGTGGGATATGGGTATGCTTGAGTGAATAAAGCAATGTGCGCATAAAGTAGTGAGTTCGTTTTTGTTCCAGGTCTACAATCCAGAAGTGAATTTCAATTAGACTTTTAGGCAAAGTAGACAAAGTTTTCTTGTCAACATTGCTTGCACCTCCCACTATACGCACATCCTCCAATTGCAGTTACCACTGACCTCCGGCCAAAAAAGTAAAAGCTAAAACTATATGAAAAGTTTACTTGCGACCCCATTTCATCCTCGAGCTGGGATTCTCCAGATAGCAATTATTTCAATAGGTCTCTGAGATCTTCAGACATGATCCAAACGCTGCTTTTCGTCATTTCCTTCCTTCTCCTACCCAATGCCACCTCACCTCCATCTCCACAAGCTCAGTAACATTTAGGGTCACAATAAAGAAGGGTTTGATTTAAAATATATATAGGTTCAGAACAGATAACTGACTTATATATAAGTGTAAAACAATTGTTTTTGTTCTCATTTAATTCTTATGCAGGGTGGCAGGGTGGCTCAGTAGTTAGCTCTGCTGCCTCACAGTACTAGGGACCTGGATTTGATTCCAGCCTCGGGCGACTGTCTGTGTGGAGTTTGCACATTCTCTCCGTGTCTGTGAGCGTTTCCTCCCAGTGTTCCAGTTTCCTCCTGCAGTCTAAAGATGTGCAGGCTAGGTGGATTGGCCATGCTAAATTGCCCATGGTGTCCAGCGATGTGCAGGTTAAGTTGGTTAGTAAATGTGGCAGCATGGGGATAGGGTAGGTCTGGGTGCGGTGGCTCTTCAAAGGTTTGGTGCAGACTCAATGGGCTAAATGGCCTCTATTTGCACTGTAGGAGTTTTATGATACAAAAAGTATGCAAAATGTAACAGTTTGATGTATGTACAAGTTCAAAGTGGTGAACCTTAAATTGATTGTATTTAAGAGCTTTGCTGTACAAATATTCTCAAGTGAACATTCCATCCGTTGTCTTATTTCAGCTGATTATTCATTCAGGTGCCAGTATTATTCATTCTTGTCATGTTGAGAAAGTAAATGTATTTCAACCATATTAGAATTGACTGCCCTATTTTTGTTTTTTAAATATGTGTCCTGGATATCATAAATCATTTCAGTTCAATTTCCAGATAAAGTGATTGGAATGGTAATCAATACTTTGAGAAAGAAAGGACTACCATTTTCTGGCATTTATACAGCTTTGAGATCTAATGTGGTGAGTAATAGCATAAGAACAAAACTTCTAACCTCTAAGTACAGTTGCAAATTCTTCCATGTAAATCATTAACCCATTAGCCATTAATGGTTTAAATGTTTTGTTCCATAAGTGGTTTGAATTTGCTATCTCATTTTAGTCTCGAGCAATGCTGGATGATTAATGTTTCAAAGCCCTCTAAGTGAAAATTGTATAAACCTGTGTATTTTTAATTTTCTCTATTCTCCTTGGCATCCTTTAAGAATGTATTGATTCTGATCATAGTGGGTTTGAGGAGGGTGGATCCCAATGGGATGAACCTGGATTGTTTGGGAACCTTCCTGAATCAGTTCCTCACTTACATAAACTTGCCACCCTTTGCTTGCAAAATGTTCTGCCCCTGACTTGACCTTCTCAAAAATGGTTCGGGACATAGTCAGTGCTGACGATTGGGTGATTGGGGTATTGTTGCGCTGGTAGGCAAATTGCAAGGGATCAAGGCAAACTAGGAAGCTGGAGTTGATGTCAGCCATGACAAGCCTCTTGGAACACTTCATAACTTATTCATAGAATCATAGAATCCCTACAGTGTGGAAACAGGCCATTCGGCCCATCAAGTCTACACTGAACATCCAAAGTGCACTCACCCCATCCCTGTAACCCTGCTCTTCCCATGGCTCATCCACCTAACCTGCACATTGTTGAGCTGTGAGAGTAAAATGGATGTCAAAGCCACCAGGCGATAGTCTTGAGGCATGCTGCATGATTTTTCTCTGGCAACGGGATGATACTTAGAAGCAGTAAATGCTTTGGTAGACTTACAAAGAGGAAAACTGGGGTAGAAAGAAAGTAATCTTGAAATTTTGTGAGACTTAATTTAGAATTGACAAGATTAAGATTGTTGTAAACAGAAATGGTGCATAAACAAGGGACACATTTTACAGGGAAATACATTGCATGGCACACAGACACATGCACACAGTCACAGACACAGGGACACAAGCACACACACTCGTGCACACAAACACACAGACACATTCTGTCAACATCATATTGACTGGAATTATCTGGCTGCCTTGCTGAAATATTAGGCTGGGGTCAGTATATAACAGATCAAAGCAGGACCTTAGAGACAGGATGCCCTCACTAAGAGATCTGCTGTAGATCCTGAGATAAATCTGGGGAGTTGGACAGAGCTGTCTGCAGGCCCCACCCCGAGGGAAAGAAAATGTAAAAATATGTAATTGGAAATTAACACGCAAATTGCAGTTATCCTCTAACTTAAAGGCTACAAGATGAGTCGAATCAATATGGGGAAGTGATAGCTGAGTGGTGTTAATGCTAGACTATTAATCCAGAGTGCCAGGTAATGTTCTGGGGACCTGGGTTCAAATCCCACCATGGCGGATGGTAAAGTTTGAACTCAAACCAAAAAACATCTGGAGTTAGGAGTCTAATGATGACCATGAATCCATTGACGATTGTCGGAAAAATCCATCTGGTTCACTAATGTCCGTTAGGAAAAGAAAATGCCATCCTTACCTGGTCTGGACTACGTGTGACTCCAGACCCACAGCAATGTGGTTGAATCTTAATGAGATGAAGAAAAAAAATGTCTCATTCAACAGTTCCCATCTGGACAGTGAGAATGAGTGACAGAGAGTTTTAGATGTTGGTGGAGGGATACATGGAAGAGTATAATTTTAGAGCATGTTTCAGTGATCACAGATGACACCACCTCCCCGCGCCCCCCCCCCCCCCCCCCCCCCCCCCCCCCCACCCCGCTCTCGGAGGAGGGTACAGGGCTGTCTTGCCTGCCAAAAGTCTGTACATTGAAAACTGCTGGGCTGTTCACCAGTGCCCACCCTTCTCTGCAGACCAAAGAATTGCAGCTGAGAGAAAATGAGGCCCTTAAGTGACCATTAATTGTCTCCTTCAGAGCCCTCACCAGGCCTTAGTTTGGACATGCTGCCTTACCAGTATATGGTGGACTGAAAGGCAAGAGACTGGCCACATGCTTTATTTTCTGTGTCACTCATCTTCAGATAGACCAGCAGAGGGCCTATAAAATTCAACACATGGACCCTGAAGCAAGCCTATGTACCACGGTAATATGGTTTATGTACCTGTAGTAAGGATCTAAATGGTACGTAAGGAAGTGATTCATTGTTAATGTTTCCACTGTTTGTAGTCAAATTGTTTCACCTCTCTTTACTGATATTCTCTCTTTACTGTTTCAGGTTATCAGAAAGACTAGCAATGAAGTTGTTCAAACTGGACGGCGATTAATGACCACAGATTCAATTAGCTCTGTTCTGTACCCACCCTTGAATGTAACAAATGGTACAAATACATGCATTCTTTTCCATGCTACCAGTCTGCAACTAACAGCCAATGGAACATTGTTCGACTTGACCAATAAAACTTTCATATCCAATTCAGTGGACTCCACAAACTCGATATGTTCAACCACTAATAGCACGTAAGTTGATGAAGTACTAAAGACGGACACCACTTTCTTTTGTCTGAGTAGCTGATTTTATCCCCCCACAGTTCACAATTTGCAAAGTAAGGCATATTCCTGAATAACCACTAACAATTGCCTGAAGCTCACTTTTGCCAGCTTGGATATGAATTTGTAGCAGCTTATGAGGAGTATAGGTCGAGAGAAAATTCTGTCCATCCTGCTATCTAATTGATTTTATTTTGCAGATTATAATTTGGTTATAATTCTAAAGTATTCTTTTCCCATACACTTGGACCTTATATTCTGCAGTGAGTCATTATGACACAGAAGGGTGCCAATTGGCTCGTCTATGCCAGTTCTCTATGGTTTAATGCAATCAGTCTAATTTACCCACCCTATCTCCATAGCCCTGCAAATATATTTCATTTGAGTTTCCATCCAAACTTATTTTCCAATTGTTGATCAACTCTGTTTCCACAACCCTCATGGGCAGAGGAGCTCCCAGTCATCAACACTCATTGTGTCAGAAATATTCTTCCTTATCATTACTGTGACGATGCTGTGGTTTTAAGAGGTGTGTTTTGTCCTTGTTTCTTTTGGTGGGAGACTGGGGGACAGGTGCAAAACAATATATGAGAAGATAAACAACTCGTGAAGACTTGGGTGTTTTTTTTAAAGGTTGAAACAATAGAAGCAGCCTAAATGGGTGTGATCAAGCTCCCACAGAACTAGGGATTTTATTTTAGCTTTCAGCAATTGTTGCTGGGGTCTCAGAAGGGTTGGAACTGTTACACACTCTCTCTGAGATTTCTCTGGATATTTTTTCTCCTGGGCTGTGGGAGTTGCATGTGAGACAATTCTGTTATTCTGAATTTGCTTTTTACCAAGAGTGTCCTTATGGACTGTTACTATATTGAAACAGTTACTGTTTAGATTAAAATAATCCATTATTCTGTTAAGCTTTCCAATAAAGTTGTTATTTGAAGTTCCTCTCTCTTTTGTTCTATTTTAACGATACTGTTTGAATAAATTGTGTTTTGCTTAATGCTGAGTAGTTTGACAAATCAAATTGCATCTGGAACACAGAGCCTCACATATACCTTTAAAATAAGAATAAATTAGGTTCTAGGCTACCTTCTTATTATATTTTGAGGGGATCTGGTCTGATCCATGACATTACCTTTGAATCACTTGCACAAAACCTTAAATCTGTGCTCCTGGTTCTTGTAGGATCAGCTAATTGGAAGAAATTCACCTTATCCATATTATCAGATCTCCCCTTAATCCCCTTTTATCCAGTAGCAGCTTCAACCCACCTCCCCAAAACCTAATTTTCTAAGTAACATTCAGGTTGGTGTCTGTAGATTTGATCTTCCTTATGCACAGAGCACAAACTAGAGGTATTACAAACTGAAGTGTTAATGAATGGATTTCAGTAGAATTTAAAAGGGTCACTGATGACCCTTAAAGTTATCCTTTTCATGAACTAGAAAACTGGCCCTTTTAATTTGATGAGTTTGAAGGTACAGCTCCATGATATCCACAGAGAGATGACTATTTTGTAGGTGTGTGCTCCCCTATAACAAACAGCGGAACCAGAGCAGCAGAAATGCATGTGAGAGAACAATTGAATGCTATCTCATCCATGGTCAGAAGCTGGCAATATGTGAGGAACAAATACCTGGCATCTGAGTTATGTTTTACTCTGAATTTGCTGCTTAATATCACAGTGACCATGAGCTATGCTTTGCTAACCTCATAATTTTCTAAATGCATAGGAATGATTATTTTCTAATGGGCATGGTGTACATTTCTGCACAGTCTCAGGGCTGCAGTGAGGTGTCAGCCTAGGTGTTTCAAGTGTTGTGTTCTTGGAATGTTGAACCCATATAGGTATTGTAGGAGGTTATGTTATTTGTCAGCCATGTTTTTATTCCAATCATACAACTTTCTGATTTTATATAATCCAGAATTAGCCAAATTGTGTTTATCTTGTGCTTTCAAATTTATGCATAGAGTTCTGAACTTCAGGTTAAAAGCTTGCTATTATAAAGTGACCTAATAAAACCTATCATGTTATGTATCTTATTTTAGATTATCACTCAAGTATTCACTTCAAAAAAATCCTCTTCTCCACGTTAATACTCTGGAGATCAGGTAATTTTCATGCCATTTCTGATTTAGTGACAGAGATTTGTTTTTATGCAAGCTAAAAGTTGTTGTAATCTATTTACTAAGGTCACAACTTTCAAACTAGACTGATAAAGACCTAAAATAGCAGCTGGCTCCTGATAATTATGTAGTTACATCTGCTTTAAACCAAACTAACTTTTACATACATAAAATTCGTGAACAAAGCAAGCACATAGTAATACTTTAGTTTGTTAGTACTTTACCCAGCTCCATTTTTAATTCCCAATTTCACCCGAGAGTTCTCTTATACCTTCTGATATCTTAAGCGTTCATCCACTTCCCCTCCTGAGATCAAACAAAATTTGTCACAGCTCCCTGGAACTCACTCTGGTTTCTCCTCAATGTTTCGGGTATTTTCTGAGATATAAAATTTCATGGAGAGCCTTCCATTAGCTTTTTGCTAAACATCTCTCCAACTTAACATCAAAACCTCATTCCTAAGGGCTTCACAATTCAAGTTTGGCCTCACTTCATACGTGCTTAGTGATTTAAAACTCATGGACATGCCTACAGTTCCTAATGGCCAGTTTGTTCCTTGTCCTGGCTGTGGACAGACATGAATTGCTTTTCCCAGTATGTCCTTGGGCTATCTATTAGTTGTTATGAATGTTACTGTAGATTTCTCTCTGTAGCCTCATGCTGGGAAAAGCTTCCAGCCTTTTTTCTCCTCACTAACTCTTCCTCCAAAGTGAGCATAAACTGACCGTCGGTGTGATCTCTGACAAAGTTAGTATTTCACAAGATTTTCATTCATCTACATATAAACTCAGTTCATCAACTAAAAGCTGCTTTTTTTAAAACGTGAATTATGAAATCAGATATTTGCAATAATTTGTAAGTTGAACATGTTACAAGGGCATCCTCCGTTATAAACATGGACATAGAAGTTTTTGATGTAAGAAATTAACAGAAAACAGATTTGGATGCTCTGTTATCTGTTGACTTTCCATGATATTCATACATCATGAAGACTATACATTATATTTAAGTACAATTGGATTGGTGGGTAGGTAATTTTGGTTTCAAGACTTTTGAACATAATTCCATCACAATTTTAAAGTCATACATTTTGTGCCTTATAATACAATGCTTTTACTTCATATTATCACTTTTCAATGTCATAGCATCATATATAATAAATCAATGAAAGTGGTCCTTTCTTAACTGTTGTTTATACCCTTTGGCTGCTGTCACTATCTCACCTCTACTCCTCACCTATGACTATGTCTTATAAATTAATTCCTTCACTGTTTTCATTGTCATTTGAAGTACATTTGTCATAAGGGCCTAACAACTCAAGAACATTGTTAATCAGTTACATTGGCATGGCATTTTTTCTGCCACATTGTAGGAAAACTAAATTCTTTTGAACAATTCATTTACCAAGCAGTAAGATAATGTACAAAATGGTTTGGATGTTTTAATTTCCTTCAAAGGTTTTTAATGAGGAACAAGTTCTACACTGGATCTGCACGAAACTGGTTCAAATTGGATTTTGTTGAAATTGTGCAGGATGAGCTCCATGTCGCAGTGTTTAATGTGTCTGGTATCTCAGCACCACAGGAGTATTCCTTTCACTGTCAGCTTGTAGGAACCAGCTGGCTTAACGGTGTGACATTCATCCCTGCTAACAAGGCAGCTAAGGCTTGGACTATCACCATTTCTGAATTTCAGGTAAATAGGTGACATGGAATAAATTAATCTGTCGGATTCTTTATTATTGAGAAGCACAACTGTTGATTGAATAGTAAGTATGAGAAATTCAAAAATGGTTGCTTTCCATCAAACCTTACAATGATCACATTAATAAAAGCCAACATTTTCATTCACAATAGTTTTATTATGTTGGGTGAGTTGCCTTAAAAGGCATACTAATTTTAAGTAGTATGAGGAGACAATACAGTCCACGTTACATCACTAGCCAACACACACTCTCTTCAGGTTTCAGTGTTTGCTGTTTCTTATCAGAGAAAATGAAACTGAGATCTTCTGAAAAGTGGCGTATTAAAGCATCCTCAATTCAAGATGCAGTAATGCTGCTTCCTGCACCTGCTGGTGCACTATTAACACTTTCACATGCTGTGAACAGAATCTGCTATTCCATTGCCCCGTGTGGAATAGGAAATGATAGAATCTGCAATCTTATACTCGAGTGATCTACATTTCAATGGCATCTATTTGTAGTTGGGTCTGCTAAATAAGAAGAATTGAAGTTGTAGCTCCTTAATATGAGAAGCCCATGCACAGTATTTTGCACAAATTTTGGGTGTCCAAAACCTTCACATTTAAGAAAGTACTTCTTGAAATGTAGCCATATGGTCATTGTTGTAATGCTGTTATGGGACAACTAATTTGCATTCAACAAGGTCCCATTAACAGAAATGACAACAATGATAACCTGTTCCTTGAGTGGTGTTGGTTGAGGGATCACTATTGGACGTGGGGAACAGGACAACAGAAGACCTCCTTTTCTCTTGCAATGGTACCATAGTGTACTTGTTGTCAACTTAACAGAGCGTTTTTTTTTGTGGGTTATGGGCATTTGTTGCCCATCTCCAATTGTACTTGAACTGAAAGGTTTGCTATGTTGCAGAGGGCAATCAAAGGCCAACCACATTGCTGTAGGCCATACCAGGTAAGGATGACAGATAATCTTCCCTAAAGGATATCAATGAACCAGCTAAGTTTTTACAACAATCGATAATAGTTTTGTGGTCACCATTGCTGAGACTAACTTTTAATTCCAGACTTATCCATTGAGATTAAGTTCCACCAGCTACTGTGGTGGGATGAACCCACGTCTCCAGAGCATAGTCTGGGATACTGTCCAGTGACATTACCACTCTATCACTGTCTCCTGCAGAATTCAGATCCCATTAGAAAAATGGCGCCTCTCGCAGTGCCAAACCCAAGACAACTCAACACATTACAAGATTTATTACGTTGCTCTTCATAGAAGCTAATGCAAGTTTCTACAATGCAGATTTGCTTTTGACTAAAATACTAACCTATGCTTCAAATTTTCTTGTTTTTATAATATTTTCTTTTCCTCAACAGATTCAGGGTTTCAATGTGGAGAATAACCTATTTTCTTATGCAGTTGACTGTACCTCATTCTTCACTCGTGCAATCTGGATGGCCCTAGTGACATCTCTGGTTCTTTTGTGCATCCTTACCTACGGCATCCATATGATCATGCAGCTAACAACTAATGATCGCTTTGATGATCCTAAAGGACAAGCTCTAACAGTCCCTCAGAATGACTAATTTCGTTCATTGAGCTGAATCTGTTTCATCTCCTATAATCATCATTTTCATTACCTGAATCAAATCTACATGACAGATTTTACAGATTTTACCCTTCACAGTGTGATGAAGTTCATTATAATATTCACGTACTGGACCTTTAAACCTCAGACTGATCATATATTTACACTACATTTCATGAAAGCCTGGAGGGTGCATTGACCTGGGAAGACACCATACAAATTGCTTAATCATGACAGTTTTCAAACTATGAAAGAGTAGAAATAAGAACAGCCATAAAAATGCTCACCAGGTATAGGACCTTCTGATAGACAATTTGAATACGAGAAAGTAGGGAGATGATGGAGCATAAAAATATATGAACAAACGCAAATGAAATGTATTTGTTTGAAACTAATTTAGGTCCGCCATGTAAGTAACAGTCTGACGTCACATCTTGCTCCATTAGTAAACAAGAGATTGAGGTGACAAATTCAAAACTTAAGTTAAACATATAAACTGAGTTCTCCAAACTGTAGCAATAATGGGTTATTTTAGAGAAAGCATTGATTATTGAGCATTTTTTGACAGAAGTTAAATTGACTTACATTTAAACTAACCATGATAACGATATGAAGGTGGCCCAACTTCAATGTGAAACTCCTACTTAAGTAAAATATTTCAAATTAAGAATACAGATTGGGAGTAGATTAACTTGTTTAATAAATTGAAGTGGAGTCATAAATTAGTTATCCACATGCCCCGTTATAATTGATTTAAATTGTATTAGCAGATGCACTGTCTTTCTGAGCTTCAGCTCTGATGAAAAGTCATCTAGGCTCATAGCGTTAGCTTGGTCTCTCTCTCCATGGATCCTGTCTGACCCGCTGTCATCTCCAGCATTTGTTGTTTTCAGCACAGTCTTTCTGATATTGCTTCCCTCCACCACCACTGAGATTTGTATTCATGTCTGCAACAGCTAAAATTAAAATGTCAATCCACAAAGGTATAAAGTTATTTGGATGTTTGCAGGTGAAATATGTTAACAACAGATGAAATTTAACTGCCAAACATAACTCAATGTATAATTACTGTAGGCAGGTGATACAGAAAATTGTCAACAACATGAAAATCAGTGAAACGGATAGCGAGAGGTAAACATATGCTGCTGCAGTAAGATGTGTTCTCCCACATTTAGTGATGAATGATTGGTTGAAGTAACTGAAATTTTACATTGTGTTACTGAGCCAAAGTAAAATGATGTTTTCTCCAAAGCTCTTGTCATTTTGGCAAGCATTCTTTAAATGGTATTTAACCCTGTTCAAACCATCCATTTTGCTTCCAATATTCTCACTAACTTAGCAAGTATTCCTTATGTAATGCAGGTTGGCCAAATCAAGTTGTTTTCATCTTTGTGAAAATGAGACTGTCATGTCCTGAAAATATTTATGCAAATTTAAATTCTGACAATCTATTTAAATAAATGCAATTTAAAGCAGTTATTGTTAAGTATTGGGATGGAATTCTGTCCAAGCACAAATGAATTTATTTTAACAAATTTTCAGATCATTTACACTGTTTTTAAAATGATAATGCAGACTTAGTTAGAACACTACATTGCAAAATTCTCTTTCTTTAATTTCGTATAGGAAGAGCAGCATTATTGGCTGAACTCACTGAAATACCAAATTGCAAATGAGCATCATATTGTATGTCAAACTAAGCTGTTACGAACTTGAATTGGAGAAGGTCATTGACATGAAAAGGGAATCCAGAACTACTGAGGCCACTTCTCAGCACTTCTGAATCATAAATGGATTGTTTGTCAGTTTGTTTTGTCTCTTGTAGTGAAGTTGGCTCAGTAAGACAAGGTTGGCAGGATGCACACATGTCATATTTATGTTCCAACTTGTCAAACTGATTGCAAAATTAAATACAGAATATTTTCAACTCTACTTTTTTAAGTCATCAATGATCAATCTAATGTAGGGGTTAGCAACTCTGCATTTTTGGTTCATCATGAAATTTGTATCACTGGAGAATGGAGCTAACACGATAAAAGATGGTGTTTGTTTTACTAATCTTTTATAAATGTAAGGCATATATGATATAGCCTTAATTCCTAGACTATGTGGTCACTGCACAAATCTGAAGGAAGTATTGGACTGTACTAAGTTTCACTATATATACAGTAGTCTGTTTTTCTCTGCAGACAAATTTGAAATAGAGTTGTCCCTCCAGATTATTTTTGCAGTCTATCGTTATTTGAGCAAGTAATAAACTGGGGGTTGTGTCTCTGTCCTGAAAAAGGACTGGGCTGCAAGAGTCTGCTAATTATCAATGCTAGTGTAACCTCATGTACTATAGTTTTGTAGGATAATTAAAATTTGTGGTGATGGAATCAGATGCTGGAACCTACTGGGAATGTCATGTCAACTAATGAATATGTGATCCTCAGCAATAAACATTATGTCTGGTAATCTATAAAAGTGCTGGAATTTATTTAAAGTGACAACAATTTATGTGATTTTAGTTAAAATATGACAAATACAAGTGAACACTCATATTGCCAAATTATATTACTAGCAGATGAATTTTCACATCATTTTTAAAAGTAGAAGCCCTGAATGAAAGTGATAGTAATTGGGTGGAAAACTTTCATATAATTTTTCTTTGCAACTTGCAATCCCTTTGAACGACAAACATATCAGTTAGTTAAGGTGTGACAATCAGAGTGCAGATATTAATTATATCTGGAACTGAAAGAATTAACTTTGACTGGAATCTGACCAGTAATACCTTATTTGTTCAGAAAACCATTATAATTGTAAGTGCATTTTTTAAAATTGACGCTTTGGATGTTCTTCATGAGCCAGATCAGCATTTACTGTCTATCCCTAGTTGTCAGGCAGACGAGAGTTGATCAATGGAGTTATAGACATATTCTTTAATCTAGCTTTTCAGAGATGTTATGACACACCAGGTCTCCTGACACTACTGTAGCACCTCAAGAGCCCAAAAGCACCAGTTATTAACAGGTCAGATTGCACAGGAGTTGCAGCTTTCCTTCCTTCACTGAACCAGTGCAGAAGTTACAACAATCCAATCGCTTTGTGATCAGTTACCCGTTTGGAGTTGCCAGCAGATTTTAAGGGGGTGGGGGGAAGGGGAGAGCAGAAGAATGAAATGGTTGCAGATTCTGAAGTTAGGGGACATCATTTTACATAAAAAGTGCACACTGTGTACCAGACCCGTGATTGTAAAACTGAAGGAAAGCTCCAACAGAATTAAATTAGATCCTGAAAACTCATGGGAATCTGCTATCGGTGGTTGAGATAAAAACAGACCAACTTTCAGTTGTCTAATCATTATAATGATTGTCGTGTGCAGTGTTAACCATGCTGTTTGTTAGCTGCAGCAAGCCTCAGCAGATGGTCCAAAACATAGCTTGATAGTGCTGCTCAAAGCAAACATGCATCTTTTCAAGAGGAATAAAACAATGAATTGTGGATGCTGAAGATCTGAAACAAAGTCAGACATTGCTGAAGGAGCTCAACAGCTCTGGCAGCATCTATGGAGACAAAGCAAAGTTAACTTTTCAGGTCCAAAGAGTCATACCAGACTTGAACCATTAACTCTTTTCTCCACAGCTACTGCCAGCCTGCTGAGTTTCTGTGGTAATTTCTGTTTCTCTTAAAGAAGAGTTGCGTTGCGGCTGGAGAATGTACTTGGAGGCTTGTATGAAGCCTGGGAAAGGGTGAGGAATGGCAACGCGCAGAGAGTAGGCTCCAACCTTATCAGATTCTGTACTGGAGGTTTTGGTGGAGAGGAGGAGAGACAACCTACATCTGTAGTGGGGCAGAAAGCACTTCAGGCCTATACTGAAAGGTATTGGGACCAGGTGCTGTGAGGTCAATGCCAGGAGTTGAGCTTCTAGCGTCTAGATGCGGCATCACAAGAAATTCAACAATCTCACTCAAGTAGTCAAGGTCAGTGAGTGTTTGATAACTGCAACTGTTAACCTCAACGGCTATTTAATCGCCAAACCTGTATCATTCGCCTACTACCCGTCTTTATCAATCAGAACTCATGCCTAAAATTCACGGTTTCACCTCACCCTCATATAGTTAACATTACACCCAAATCTCATAAATTGTACATGTTGCCAGTTATTCAACCACGATTTTCACATCAGCCAGAAAGATAGGATAATGTAACAGGGACTCCATCAGCAAGTGGCCATGGTGAGGAAGGGAACTGAGCAGTTGAGTGGACTCTTGATGGAGGAAAGGGTGTCTCTGTCAGTAAGAGACCACATAGAGGGAGAGTGAGAGAGATGGACAGAGACTGACAAAGGAGTTTCTCAATCAGATATGAAGTAAAGGCTTAATTCCATGCAAATACTCTGATTTCCCATTTTAACCACAACTTCCCTTCATGCTTGTAGAGGCCTGATGCCAATAGAATACAGAACCCCTGCTTCATAATCTTTGGACCTTCTGTATGCTTGAATCTTGCATTACATATTTGCTGCTGTAGGCAGGATCCCACAGAAACAGCTCCAGTGTGTTTGTGTGCTATGGCATTAGTTGAGGAAATTGGACTTTTAGGCAAAACCCAGGCAGAGGCTCCCAATATGTATTCTCTTCACATTATGGAGGAAGAAAGTGGTACTCCTAGTTGGGTATGGTTGGCAGATGAGTAGAAGCTGACAGATTTTGAGCGAGATTGGAAACACCCAATGATCCAGTGATTGAAGTCTCATTTAAGGTCACACAGCTCAGTCTAGCATCCAGGGGCAGCAACATGAGCAAGTAAGCAGCATTTATAATAGAACATCTGTATGGGAAAGTCCATCAGGAAGAGATACAGATGTTTAAAGGAGTTCTCAGCTGGTTGTTGTAGTATGGATTGCAGTAGCCTGACACAGCTACAGCAAATGTTTTATGGGTACAAGCAAGCAGAAGGAGTGGACCTAGCCTCTGTATTCCTGGGGCTGGTGAACTCGTTCTACCGCACCA